AAACAACTAGAGCCATGACTTGCAAAACTCAAGATTATTTGCTCATATATTTTCGCAGGCAGTATCCTGCTTGAATATTGCACATTCCTAACATGCTTTCCCAACTAATTGTATTTCAAATATGGATTTTCTCTAAATTGAATTTTACCCCCCAAAAAATAAAAGTAAAATCATTTACTTATAATCCATACAACTACTGCTATAGTGCAACCATACAACTAACTCCTGACCAAACAGGTTCCCAAGTTCCAGCTGCCTTTTCGAAGTGCTTCTCATGTGGCCAGGGATTGAAGAAAGGGCTTTTGAACACATCGGCACTGGCCAGGTGTTTCTCCTGTGGTCAGCTGAGGAACTTGAGTGACAAGCCCAACCATAAAGAGGAGCAGAAGGTGGCCTGGTGAGGAAGTCAGCTGGATCCAGAGCCGGCTCTTCTTCGGGGACTTCCAGTCCTCTCAAGCGAATGCCAGCCCTGTCACCAGGGAGGCACCTACTGTGATCTGTGAGGAAACAACAAACAAATAAAAAGATGTTCAACTTCACTCATAAATTTATAGTCGCCAAGTCAAAGCTATAGTAGTTTGTAACTCCTATCAATTTGTTTGACCAAGATTTAATACAAAGTTTAACAAAACTCTGTACTTGCCGCAAAGCTGATACATACGGACATTTTCTTAATAAAAAAAAAAAAAAGAGTTCCCTCACTCCTGGAGGAACCAGTGGCACCGGTGGCCTAGCTGCTATCATTCAGGCAGAGGAGCTGCCACAGTAGCAGCAGCAGCTGGCCCTAGCCACCCTCACACTGCTGGCTAGGTAACAGCAAGGCCCAGACCAGCAGCCACCCTCAACCCCCTCTCCACCAGGCACCAGGCAGTGGGGCAGGGCAATGATGGCCCCTGGTGGCTCACATTCTGGGCGACAAAAGATCATCCACCTGGAAGGGTTTTGTGAACAACAAAATAATTCGACACAAGAGAAGCACCGTTTCATCAGCAGCAATGGCACCAAGGAAAGCAAATTTGACCTGGGAGGGAGGGGAAGGGGGACATAAAATAGAATGACCCCAAGACACCCCCTTGGCAGTGCAAAGGCTGGAAACTGGGGTGCATTTTGTTGAACCAGAAAAGGGAGCCAGGCCAAATCACGCCAGCGGCAGAAGGCTCCTCTTGCTATCTGGGGACACCCCATGAGTGTAGACCATGGTACTCCCCACTCCCATGCAGGGAGAAGGGATGCAAGGTGCCGGGAAGCAGCGCAAGGTAGACCAGCAAGGCAGAAGAGGGACCAGTGTTAGAGACAGCAATTTCATGGGAGGTCTTGCCTAGGGCAGCCTAGGGAGTTCGGCAACACTGGAGAGTAAGCCAAATGTGAGTTCAGTCCTGAGGTCAGCTGTTGCCTGCAGGGTACTGCTGCTCCTTCAGTTACCCACACAGACACCTGAAAAACCTAAGCCACAAAAGCTGCCCTTGGGGGCCTGCAGTGTGGTGTGCTGGCTTTGGCCACACAAGCATCCCTAACTAATACAGACTTGGCTTTTCTCATTCACACATCAATTGGTATGTGGATTGTTTTAACATCTGGCTAGTGTGAGTTATGCTGATATAAACACTTGTATACAAATATCTAAAACGTTGTGCATTCCATGGAATCAGAAATGTTCATGTCTCTGGGATAAATACTTAAGAGAGTTTTAACTTCAGGTTTCTGATAAACTATTTTTTTCAGATTGGCTGGGTCATCTTATCTTCCCACCAGCAACAGAGGATGTAATCATTATTTTTTAGTCCTTTTGATAAGGGTATTGCAATATCTTCTGGTATGTTCTTAGACGTATTTGTTTGAAAGGCAGAATGACAGAGATATTTTGTAGTGCTGATTTGCTTCCTGTGCGGCTGCAGTGACCATGGCCAGGCTGGGGTGAGCCAACAGCCAGGGAACCCTGCCGGATCTCACCTCTGCTTGCACCATCTTCCGCCGATTTCCCTGGACACGTTAGTGGAGCTGGATTGGAAATGGATTTTAGCCTCTGAAGTAGCAGCTTAATTCACTGAAACATAAGGATGGGCCCCCTCATTATATTTTTTAATTTATATTTCTCTAATAATATAGAAATACTTTGTATATGATTTTTTTCAATCTCTGTGTTTTATTCGGTCAAGTGTATGTTTTCTAATTGGATTTTTATTGTGTTTTGAGAGTACTCTGATTATATGGTTTGTATTACTTTTCTAATGTTTTTTTAATTCCAGTGTCTTTATGAGGCTTTTTCACAAAACAAAACAATTTAGGTTACCGGAGCTTTATTAAAGTCTCCTTGGTTTACAGTCCAAAGATGTTTTTTTTTTCCCCTAAGAGTATTGCTTTTTTTTTTAAAGATTTATTTAATTTTTATTGGAAAGGTGGATATACAGAGAGGAGTGACAGAGAGGAAGATCTTTCGTCCGATGATTCACTCCCCAAGTGAGCGCAAGGGTCGATGCTATGCCAATCCGTAGCCAGGAGCATCTTCCGGGTCACCTGCCTGGGTGCAGGGTCCCAAAGCTTTGGGCCGTTCTCCACTGCTCTCCCAGGCGACAGCCAGGAATCTGAATGGGAAGCAAGGCTGCTGAGATTAGAAACAGCACCCATATGGGATCCGGGGCGGGGGAGGCGAGGACCTTAACCACTGCACCATCGCGTCAGGCCCCTGCTTTTTTTATTTTATGCAGTGGACATTTTATGTTATATATAAGAGCTCGGTGCATTTAAATTTTTATATAAAATAAAATTTAGGTTTTGGTGTCATAAGTAAACCAGATGTGCAAGAGAAGGTGGCTAGCTGTAGTTTTGACAAGAATTGCAAATGAATTTATAAAAAAATGGACATTCCTACTAAATTTTCTCACAGTCTGTGAACAGGTTCATTCTACCTATGTAGCACTTTGAATTCTTGCACTAGTGTTTTTGCGATTTTCATCCTTTGTGGAAATCACCCTGTGAAAAGTAGTGTAGGAGAGCGAACAGTTCTGGCAGTTCCCCAGACCATTCCTACCTTAGGGACCCTGGAATCCGCCAAAGGCTGTGAAGGCTAGGTGCTGCCCTGCACACCACAGCAGGATGCATGTGACTGCCCCTACCCCCTCCCACCCCCCAGTCCAGCTGCCTCCTAGGCTCTGAGACCTTCCCATTGGGTGAGGGGGGTGCTGGGCGGACTCTGGGGCTTTGCCATCCCACTGCATTCCCGTCCCCCTCCCGTTTCCCCCCACGCCGTGTGCAAGTAGAATCTCCCAGCCTGGACTCAAGACCCCATCACAGTGGGCTGCTAGCAGTTGACTTGCCTGCAATCGGGCAGTGAGGTAAGACTTCTGCTACTGGGAGGATGCCCCCAGGACAGGGCTGTGGGGTGAGAATGGGATGTAGTCCTGGATGTGTTTTGGCATTGCATGCTGTTAGCACATCTCTCTGGGCGTAGTGGTCAGGAGCCGCCAGCCTATCTTCCTGCTGACACTTTGCCTTAGCGGGAGCTGCAGCCATGCAGAGGGAACCTTGGCCGTGCCTTGGGTGCAGGCATTTAGGTCTAGGGAGCCTCGTTCATGCAGTGGGTGCAATGGGAGCCGCGGCAGTGCCACAGGTGCAGGTGTATAAGTCTTGGTTGCCGTGCGCATGCTGCGGGTGGACCGGGAACCGCGGGCGTGCCGCGGGCGTGCCGCGCGGGTGCCCGTTTTTTAGTCTTGGAAGCCAGGGTTGTTCAGAGGGTTCAGCTGGAGCCACAGCCGTGCAGCCCGTGCAGCGAAAGTGGTGGTCCTGCAGAGAGAGCCGCGGTGGTGCAGAGGGACCCCGGATCATGCCGAGGGCTCCCCGTGAGCTTCGGGCGTGCTACAGGAGCCAGTGTATAAGTCTCCTGAGCCGCGGCCGTGCCGCAGGTGCCGCAGGTGCCGCGGGTGCCGAGGATGCAGGTTTTTAAGTCTCCAGAGCCTCGGTGGTGCAGCCAGTGCAATGGGAGCCTCTGCCGTGCCACAGGTGCAGGTGTATAAGTCTCGGGAACTACTGGTGCAGTTGGTGCAGCTGGTGCATTGGGAGCTTTGTCCCTATGGCGGGTGTAGGTGTTTAAACCTCGGGAACTGCAGCCAAGCAGCCAGTGCAGGTGCTCAACTCTCACCGTGACTTTGCACTGGAGACACACTCAGTTTCCAAACCATAAAATTAAACATCACCCCTCGATCCCATAATACAAGACTTACTTTCTGAGTTCTTGCTCCCCTATTATCTTCCCCTTGCCCAAAGCGCCCCCTTTGCAATGTATTCCTTGTTTTCTTATTTAGATGGGGATAGACTGTCATGGACATTGTGCCCCACATATGTTTTGAGTTTCTCACCTGTTTCTCTTCCAGTTACAGCACCTTGGCTCCCAACGCATAAGGACATAAGATTCCGTGTTTCTGAGCAGGTTTGTAGTGAGCAGAAGGCAAACCTGCTTGTGAGGGGTGGGGCAGCAAGGCTGGAGTTGGGCAAATTCCGCCCCATCCCCAATAGGTTGTTCTATACTATGTAGACATTTTCGTTCTTAAAAAATTTTTGAAAGACAGAGAGGTTGAGATAAGAACTCTTCTATCCACAGGTTCATCACCCCCGTCCCCCGTAGAAAAAAGTTCGGCGGGAGGCGGGGGAAACTGGGAGCCCAGAAATGATGCAGTGGCAAGAACTCTGCCTATTTCCTTCCTCAGGGTGTGCATTGGGAAGTGAAGCTGAAATGCAGACCCCTCCTCTCCATCCCCCCGCCTCCGCAATGCAAACAGTGGACATTGCGTGGGGGAGGAGGGCACAGCAGGGCTCTCTACGCATCATGTGCCTGCCCTCTTGTCAGTCTGCCCACCCAGGCAACTCTTAAGTTGCAGCGTGCAAGGCATCCCCGGCAATCAGAGCTTTTGCAGCCTTGCGGGTTGAGAGCTCAATCCTCTTGCTGTCTCTGCTTTCTCCATAGGTGCCTCTTGCCAGCAGCTAGACACCAAACCCGAATCCCAGCAATGGGCAACTCGTGTTTTCCCCTCAAGGAACGCTTGCTGTTGCGCCTGCGGGCTCTGCCCGCCAGTCTGAGCTTGATCCGCGCTTTCACGCGCTACCGGAGAAGAATCGATTACCGCATAGTGGTGGTCGGCTCCACTGGGGTGGGGAAGAGCACCATCGTGAAGCGGTGGGTCCGTGGCACCTTCCGCGACAAATACCTGGCCACCCTTCAGAGCACCCACCCCCAAGGGCTGGGCCGCAACAAAATCGGTGGGCTGCGCATCACCGACACCACAGGCACCCGCCAGTACCCGGGGCTGAAGTACTTTGCCATTCTCAGAGGGCATGCTTTCGTCCTGGTCTACTCCGTCGCCAAGAAGGAAACCCTGGATGAGCTGAAACCCTTCTACGATCTGATCCGCAGAATCAAGGGCAACAACCTGCACAAGTTCCCCGTGGTGCTAGTGGGCAACCAGAGTGACCAGAGCTACCGCGAGCTGAGCGCAAGCGAAGGTGCTGCCCGCGCCCTGGAGTGGAATTGCGCCTTCCTGGAGACCTCCGCCAAGACCGAGTTCAACCTGCAGGAGTTATTCCACATGCTGCTGAACCACGAGAAGATGTCTGCTGCCTGCCTCCCGAACACCCAGAAGAATTCCCAGGTGTCCCAGGCTGTGGAGAAGCTGCTAACTAAGTGCATTGTTATGTGAGCTTCAGAGTCGACTCCCCCCACCCTCCACTTTCCCATAGAGTGTAGAAAGCTGACTCTGCTAGTGTCACGCTTCGCCTGTATACAGTTGGCTTCTGTGCTGTGTCTGGACTGCAACACCTAGACTTCCATAGATGTACCTTGTAACTTGATCATTTCGGGTTTTCCTGGACCAAATGAATTAATGAAATCTCGTCCTTACAAATATTGGCATTTCAGGAGAAGAAAAAAGAAACACTGAATTTTAAATCAGACTCTTATTTGTAAATGGGGGTGGAAAAAATGTGTTTTCAAGGAAAAAAAGATACCAAAATGAATTGCAAGAATTACAACCCTTCTTGTAACCCTATGATTGTGTCTTGTTTTTAAAATGTCTAGTTCTGTAAGTGCCTGATCATATCTCCATTGTGTGCTTGACTGTCGAGAAATGTGTTTTCCCAACAAATGCCTTGACAGCTTGCTGTGCAATTGATATAGTAAAGATAAAAGGGAATCTTCTGTAACCACTGTGACATGAGGTCCAGAGCAGAAAAACTGCAAGTGACATTTGTTCACCAAAGCGCTGATGATTGTTTGCTAATGTAATCAAAAATCTTGAGCTATTTCTCCTTGTAGCTTTCAAAAAATTTAGCAGTTCCTTAATAAAGCTTTTCTTGTGTGCAATCAATTTTGAGGAGTTTCTTTCTCTTTGGGTCACAAGGCAGTGCGTTATGACTTCAAGGATACTCAAAGGTTGCGAACAAGAACTTCACACAACACCCATTATAAAAGTAGAGGGAAACTCAGCGGGGGAAGGGAGTGGGAAATCCCAGTGCCTATTAAACGGTATCATAAAACAAAATAAAAATCAAACCTTTACACATACATGATCTCTGCAATGCAGAGCTGTTGTGTATCCACAGCATTTCCTACACTGGGAACTGGGAGAACTCCAGGCATCCTAGCAGAAGATGCTCACGGTGGCTGTTGCTGTTTCTAGAGGTGAAAGGCAAAATTCAAGCTCCCATAGAGCTGAGTCTTCTCTCAAGAGCCTGGGAGGGAAGAGAGGGATAGGAGGCTCAGGGGGAGGGAGTGGGGAGTAAGTGCGTGGGACTTGAAACTTGAAAACTCCATAATGGAAGTTTTGTTTAAGCTTTATTTAATTTTATTGGAAAGGCAGATATACAGAAAGGAGAAGAGACAGAGAGGAATATCTTCCATCCAATGGTTCATTCCCCAAGCAGCCACAATGACCAGAGCTGCACTGATTCAAAGCCAGGAACCTCTTCAGGTCTCCCAGGTGTGTGCAGGGTCACAAGGCCATCCTCCACTGCTTTCCCAGGCCACAGGCAGGGAGCTGGATGGAAAGTGAGGCTGCCGGAACACAAACCGGTGCCTATATGGGATCCTGGCATGCACAATGCAAGAACCTTAGCCACTAGGCAGCCCAGGCCACATAATGGAATTTTAAAAAGATTAATTTTAGATTTGAGCATAGTTTTGAACGAGACTGCATAAATAACACATGCCCTTGTTTCAGTGCTTCTTTAATTTGAGGAAATAAAGGGAAGGGGCTTTGAATAGATTTTTCACAAAACATTTTTCATTTAACAAATATCTGTTGGGCAACTTGTATGTTTCTAGGAACAAAGCATAACTGTTGAGAAGGAACCATAAAATATCTTTCACAGTGGCACAGTCTGAGTTTAGAGGCTAGAAAATATATCTAGTGCCTCTTTTTTTTTTTCAGTAGTCAATTCAAAGCAATTGTTCCCAGTCATGAAAGAATACTTTAGCGGTGCAATCATTTTGCTTTTTAAGTGAATTTTGTTTCTAACACACAATTTCTAGCTTAGCATAGACTAATTCCACTACTGAGAGAAAATGTTTCACTTTGACTATTCCAGAATTGTCCTTGAAATATATATATTTAATTTATTGCTGTTTCCTATAATTAAGCAAAGGAATTACCAAGGATTAAAGTAACATACAAACACTAACCTTTAGAGAGGAAAGAATAGATTTTCAACTTTTTAGATGATGTGTAGTCAAAAATAAGACATTGTGAGGCACGCATTTTGTACAGCAGCTGAGATGTTGCTGGGCAGGATGATGTCCATATCAGAGTGAAGAGTCCCAAACTTACACAAAAATTCTGGCTTCCCACTACATGAATCCACACCTTGGAGGCAACAGGTAATGCAGATAATGGCTCTGGTACTCACTGTCCTGATCACCCACTCCTGGCTTTAGCCTTGGCCCAGTCGCCACTACTGCCAGCATTTGGGGAATTATGTGGTAGATGATAGCTGTCTCTACATTTGAATCAAGTAAACACACATTTTTAAAAATAAAATGGCATTGTACTTTCATATAACTTTTGGTGAGAATCAAGATGGCGGAATAGGGTAAGGACATGTTTAAACGGACAGAGAAACATTTCATCAGGATGATGCAGAGAGCACATATTTCAAGAAATAAGAAGGAACAGAACAACAGCAGAGGAGTACCTGGAGACTGACAGACACAGGAAAGAAGCGGACACAACAGTGTGGTGTAGCAGTGACTGATACTGCAGCACAGCAATCTGAATTCCACCAGCAGCTGAAACTCTACCACCAACCAGGTAGGAAGGGACTTGCACTGGGACCTCGGGGAGGTGAACCCAAAGGACTGTCCATCCTATCCTGCTGGTCCATTTGATTTGACCAGGAGCAGAGACAGAGCAGGTCTCAGGAGGGCGAGAACAGGGTGGATTTCATAGCCCAGTCAGCCAGCTAGAGCTGAATTGGGTGCAATTTTACATGAGGAGGAAAGGCAAGGGAAAGGAGTGAGCATACGCTGAGCTGGGAGTGAACTTACTTCTGATTCGGTGAACTGCAACAAGGTGGTATTCTACGGGTTCCACCCTGGGCAGGTCTGGGTAGCCCTCGGATCCTACAGCCAGCAGATGAAGAACTGTAGTGGTGGTATGTCAGACGCCATTCTGCGCACTATGGAAAACGCTTTGGGACTGCAGCAGACAACAGTGAACTGCGCATGTACTGAGCTCGCGAGAACTCGCTGAGGTCCCACAGGAAAATAATACCGACTGTGGCATCGTACCCATCAAAATAGGTCCGTGTTGCACCCAGACCTAATGTCCAACAGGTTCCGGCAAGATCTGCGCCACCCAGAACCTAACTAGATAAGACACCTGGTGTCTCTCTAATCCTGGGACCTGCTCCAACCAGAAGTGAGAAAAAGGTTGTACTTACAATGGTGCAGCCTCAGCACGGTATCACGGGAGATAGAGAGTGGTGAAGCCAGGAGTTGAGGCTGTAGAGAACACGGTGGAAATCTGACATAAGTACCCAGACCTGGAGCAAATTAAAAGTACAGTGGAGAGTCCCCAAAATAGAATGAAGCAAGCAGAAGAAAGAATCTCAGAATCAGAAGATATTTCCTATTATCAGGATGAAGCAAACAAAAAGCTGGAAGCAGAGCTGGATCAGGTCAAAAAAAAGTATTCAAGAATTGAAACATGCTGGGGTCCTTGCAGTAGGTGTGGATGGTACAATAGTGTGAAAAGAACAGCTCCCCTGCTTGCAGGGCCCACGGGACCTTCCACCTATTTGGCAGGACTCGGCGAATGTCTCTCTGACCACCTTGACACAGTCTCACCAGCTTTTTGCATGGAAAATCAAGTACCCCACCAAAAATTCTGTAATCCATTGAAGCATTGTTTGCCCCTGTGAGATGGCTTTTGCCACCAACATGAGCTTGAGAGGCAATGTTATTGATAATGTCTTGGTGAGTGGGCGTTTAACTGCACACAGGAGTGCAATTATACACATGTCATTTTTGGATATGTTATACTGTACCTGCCATTGCCCTGAAATCGGGCCCAGACATATAGCATGCCTTCTGAGAAATGGCGTAATAAGAGTTTTACCAAGTAAGGAAAGTAATGGGAGTGAGAGCTGAGACTGCTGTATAATAATTGTTATCTCAAAGGCTAGCCTGTCTTTGCAATTTTTTGGAGCATAGAAAATGTAACTGTTTTAGCCACCTTTACAATAATTAGCTAGGGAAATGAAGGATGCTTTTATTAAAGAAAAATGCTTTTGATTAATGTTTTATGGTTTGTGGGGTTGTAGAGTCTATAGTTGTAGGGGGATTTAATATTTGGAACTTTTGTTTTAGATTTTGGATTTGTTCCCTTTTTACTTATTTTCCCATTAAATAATGGGTAAATTGTAGAAATAGAAATGTGGTAGGAATGTACTGCTGATGAGCAGGTAGTCGCATGTGTCTTGACCTTGGAGTCCCGACAGTCGCTCCAAGTCTACTGTTTAGGAATGAATAATGGCTTGCTTTTAGGAATATGAATACAGCATTTTGCAGAATTATCTTTAGGGGCACCTGCTTAGCTTTGAAGTGCAGACGGAGTGACCAGTGACCAAATCCCTGTACATGCCCTCTTAGTCTTGGATGTATCTGTCCCCTGGCTTTGGCTTGGCGAGCCACAAGCCATGGTGGCTGTCTGGGGAGTGAGGCAGTGGATCCAAGAGCTGCTTTATCTATCTGACTCACTTTAACTTTCTTCCATTTTACCTTTTTAAAAAAAGATTTATTTATGTTGGAAATGCAGATATACAGAGAGGAAGAGAAACAGAGGGGAAGGTCTTGCGTCTGATGGTTCACTCCCCAAGCAGCTGTAACAGCTGGAGCTGAGCCATTCCAAAGCCAGAAGCCAGGAGGCAGGAGGCAGGAATCAGGAGGCAGGAGCTTCCTCCAGGTCTCCCACACTGGTGCAGGGTTCCAAGGCATTGGGCTATCCTGGATTGTGTTCCCAGGCCACAGGCAAGGAGCTGAATGGGAGGCAGTGCCACCATGATTAGAACTAACGCTCAGGTGGGATCCCAGCAAGTTCAAGCCAAGAAACTAGGCTGCTAGGCTGTTGCGTGGGCCCAATTTTGCCTTTCAAATAAATAAAATAAAATGTATATATATATATGTGTGTGTGTGCATGTGTGTGTGTATGAGAATATATATATATTCTCATAAAATTACAAATAGCACAGTTAAAGAACACAATAAAGAAGAAGAACAAATTGTTTTAAAAAATGGATATACAACAGAAGAGAATCCACTAAAACATCCAAGAAAATTTAGAAACCATCAGAAAGACTAATAAATACAAAGAAAAGAATAAGACCTAGAGAGAAAAAATATCAGAGAGAGAACACAAGCAAATCATCAATGTTAAGAATGAAAAGGGACGTGGCAGTGTTATGGCATATCTGGTTAAGCCACTGCCCGTGATCCCAACATACTGTGTATGCTCTGGTTCAATTTCCCGTTGGTCCACTTCTGATTCAGCTCCCTGTTAATGCATCTGGGAATAAGGCAGAAGATGGATCAAGTACTTGAGCCTCTGCACTCAGGTGGGAGACCCTGGTGAAGTTCCAGGCTTTGGCTCGCTCCACCCAGGCTTAATCTAGCCCTCTGCGGAAGTAAACCAGCAGATAAAAGACATCTTTCTGTCTTCCTTCTGTATATCTCTGTCTTTCAAATAAAAAAACTTTAAAAAAAAATGAAAAGTGGGATTTCATTATAGATTCAGCAGATGCTGAGTAACAAGAGGATAAAAATAGCCCCAAAGTGGAAGCAACTCAATATTCACTCATAGTAGAA